ATAATACGTATATAGTGTGTGTTTTTTTAATCCAAAATTACACAGTGGGTTATTGCGCTCTGTCCACGACTAAGAATCAATTTTAGCGTTGTAAGTCCGTTAAGCTACCATTGTTGGCCCGGCATGGCCAGGTGGTTAGGGCGCTCGACTCGCAATCTGAGGGTCGCGGGTTCGAATCCTCGCCCCATCAAACATGCTCGCTCTTTCAGCAGTGGGGGCGTTATGATGTGACGGTCAATCCCTCTATTCGTTGGTAAAAGAGTATCCCAAGAGTTGGCGGTGGGTGGTGATGACTAGCTGCCTTCCCTCTAGTCTTACACTGCTAAATTAGGGACGGCTAGCGCAGATAGCCCTCGTGTAGCTTTGCGCGAAATTAAAAAAAACAAACAAGCTACCATTGACTCAATGTGGCTGAATACTGATAATACTGTTGGGCTATATTTTTTCAATAATAATATAGAGTTATGATATATTTTTCCCGATCGCAAACTTCATGTAAGCACATTGCACAAATAAAGGATAATCGATTTTTTTATATTTTATTTATAAAAAGGCCAAACACACTGCTAAAAAAGGGATAACCTCAGTCATCCCCTTCAGCTCATTCTTATGTACATGAGGCATGTAATGATTAGTCATTGACCTGGCATAACTAAGGGATTAGAGCACTCGATTAGCAAGCTGTGAGTTGCGAGTTCGAATTACTCACTCAACATGCTCGCCCTTTTAGCAGAGGGGACGTTATTATATTACGGACAATTACACTTTTCTTCAGTAAAAAAGTAGCCCAAGAATTGGCAGTGAGTAGTGTTGACTAATTGCCTTCCTTCTAGTCTATCACTTCTAAGTTAAAGATGGCCAGAGCAGATAGAGCTGTGTGCGAAATTCCAAAAACAAACAAACCATTGTTTTAAAATGCAAACCTTTGGTCTTCCAGTCTATACTGTGTATAATGGCAGTGGTCTCATAAAATATTGCTTCATTTGTCATAGAGATCAAACTGCTCCAAACTATTTATTATCAATAACCAAATCACAAAAAAAGGATGTTTCACTAATGTGGAGAACCTTTGAACGAATAAAGCTACCATTCATAATTAATTGTTGTGAATTAGTTAATAGTATCACAAAGTACTGTTATCAGAACGTGGAACCACTTCAACTAATATTACAGTTACTCAGGCATCATCCACAATGGATGCAGACAACCGCTATATATGGAATCTTACTCACGTTACTTGTATTGTGCTTGCTCTAAGAATAAAGCAGAAGTTTTCAGTCGCATCTGGGTGTCATGACAATACGTAGACTGTTAGAAGCAGTTTTTATATGGCTGATCTACATGTCAGATGCTCAATTACGTACCTTCAGAATCCAGCAAGGCACAAAACAGTTTGACTGTAATGATCCCCAGAACATGTCTAGTTGACTAACGAAATATGCAGTAATATTCTCTTTTTTACAGATGAGTCTCGCTTCGCCAAATAGGAACATAACGGGTATATATTTAATTTCAAGATAGCCTGAAACTGGATTCAATACCGGTTTCATGTTGGTAAATATGGTGCTGTGTGACCAATAATTTGCACGAAAAAATAATCAAATGTCTGGTTTTAAGAAAATGAACCGAAAGGTATGTAGATATTATTTTATATCAATTTTGTATAGCTGAAATACTATAAATTACGAATATTTTATTATATTTTTATACATTATCTACGTTACTAGAAATGTCCAGAGTTTGGCTAATGTTGACAATAACAGGCCGATGTCAACGTTAGTAATAATCCGATGTAAAATTTGAAAAAAAATCAAAACACAGTTATTGAAATTTCACACGTTATTTCACATATTATCTTGTTGGATGGTTTAACTAATCATTGATACATGTACAGTTATCCTGAATATCGTTTTCGATCTTATTTGAAAAGGCTTATAATCTGTTCTAACGCTAACTTCATGTGTTTTTGTTTCAGGAATGACATATTTAAAAATACGAGTCAAAACCTACTAAAGTAGTAATTAAATAAGAACTTATTCAACGATTTTCATTCGCCAGTATTTGAAATTTACATGTGTAACGAACATTAATCCTTCAAAATGCTTACGTCTACAAGGGATCACTTTAAAACATACTCCATAATGCCTCAAAGGAGCATTATCTTTCTCAACTTTGTGCCCGTGGCTTTAATATGTTGTTATTAACAAAGTGCTTATTATGCTATAAAACTTAAAATCGTTACTAATCACAAATGGACAGTTCCTCGCTGATCAAATATTTTATATGTGATGTATATACAGTCTTGGCTAAAATTGGTGCATATTTTGTAACAAATAAGATCATTATTTTCAAGATGGAATACAAATACACTTAGCGAGGTCAAACTGATAAATTTGTGTTATATTAAACATCTACATACAGTACTATGCAAAAGTGTTAGAACAAAATAAAAAATAGATTTCAGGCTACTTTCAAAGAGCAATAGAAGGTAATTCACATGTGAAACATCAACATTTTATTAATCTTCATATTTAGTACAACAGAAACTCAGTGGAAGTGCTTGAGTTAAGCAAACAGTTAATATTTTGTGTGTCCCTCTTTTGCTTTACAAACTGCAGCCAGTCTTTCAGGCATTGTTGTAACATAGTTAATCAAAGTGTCCTTTGGAATTTTACTCCAAATGTCTTTAATACACTCCCATAAAGTTTCTTTGGAAGTAACTTTGTATTTGTCAAATTTTTGATCTATCCCAGATCTGCTAAATTGGGTTGAGATCGGGGCTCTGTGGGGGCCATTGCATCATTTGAATGACTTCAGCAGATTCTTTCTTAGCTAAGTAATTTTTGCATAGGTTGGATGAGTGTTTGGGGTCATTATCTTCTTGGTAGTAGAATTCTTTACCAATAATACACAAACCACTGGGTATACCATGACGGATCAGAATATGATGGTACTTGCGCTGGTCCATTATTCCATCTATTTTGCAAATATTTCCTATCGCCTCAGCAGAAAAACACCCCTAAACCATCACACTGCCTCCCCATGCTTTAGTGTAGCTTCTATGCATTGGGTAAGTATCTTTCATGTTTCTTTCGCCAGACGAACAATATACGCTTTGAACCAAATATTTCAGACTTTGACTCATCCGTCCATACACCCTTTCAAATCATCAACAGTCCAGTTTGTACTTTTAGCAGATTTCAATTTCTTGACAATATTTGGAGATCGACGTAAAGGTTTTTTAACTGCTACACGACCAAATATTCCATTCTCGTTGAGTCTTCTTGATACTGTAGATCTGGACACTTTTCTGTCATTTGGTACATGGTCGTTTACCTCATGCTTGAGATCAGTGGCAGTCTTCCTTCTGTCTTAAAGGCTGCATAAACGAAGATACTTAGCATCATTATAATTGGATTTAGGTGTTCTGCCTCTTTCTTTCCTTCTTTCAAATTTACCTATCTCGATTTCACGATCTAGGGTGTACTCGACAGTGTTTGGGGAACAGTTCAAGTCTACAACAATTTGTCAGAGAGTCCAACCAGCATCACGTGAAGCTTTTATGCGAACACTCGCACTACTGACAATTTTCTACGCTTTTTGGGCAGTGGCATGACAAGAAAACTTGATATATAATGCTAAACACTGTTATTAACAGGTTTTTTTGTGAGTGATATTAGATTGATTTTTTCTAGCATATACTGGTACCATATGCTAGCTCCTTACTAGTTTCTTTCTATACAGTTAAGACACTACATGGGGTACCATGACAGTTACTTCAGACCCTAAATTTGATCAGTATGTTCATTCAAGCAGAAC